CCCCCCCCCCCCCCCCCCCCGAAAATTCCAATCGCCCCTTCAGAGAAAAAATCCTGGATAAAACACTGATAAATACATAAATGATTTTTTTTCTTCTTCTAACCGATTGTTCAGCAAGAATATGTGAATCATTATATTGTGAATCAGCTTTTGTAAAAATTTCATTTAATTCATTTGTAAGTAATGCTTGTTGATAAAGTAATGGAGAATTACGATTAACTTTAAGTACACGATGTAGAACAAATATAATATGTTTACATAAATTGCCTTTTGCATAATCTGGACCTGTGAAATGAACAAATAATAAAAAATGAAATAAAATATTCGATACTTACAAGTACATGATGGTATGTGAGTAATTATAACTGTATAAACATTAGCTGTTTGTCCAAGTACTTTATATTCTCGATAAATTGATTCATTTGATGATTTTGTTATAGCTAGTAAATAAAGTCGTTGATTTAAAGCACGTTCAATACGATCATATATACCAATAGTCATTGATGCACGATATCGACGAAGTCGTTTTTCAGTTACTATTTTTGGACGTTTTGATGATGTTGGATTAAGTTCATTTACAGAATTTGATTGATTTTCAACGGATGATGTGATATTTCGAGCATTTTTTCGTTTAGTTGCTAAACGTGATCGAGCACTCATTATATTTTGTTTTTGTCCTATTTGACTGAAAAACAACTAAAGATGGATGGTTATAAAGATAATAGATAGAACTGATCGTTTTTTTTGTTTTATAGTTGAATGTTTCTGTTATATTGTACTTGAAATATATATTGTAACGAGGCCGAAAACATAGAGAGATGACGCTAGTAGATGTTTAACTTTTCTGATATCATGAATTGATTAAGAAGTTTTAAAAAAAGTTAGAATTCAGCTTAAATATGATTATAAGATATAATTTAATCTTGTCGGTTCAAAAACTATTTTGAAAAATTGAAATTCATCAACAGATTCTATAGTTTAGTTTAGTTTTATAAATTAGATCTTTTTCAAATCATATTGAAGAGTTTACATATTCAAAAATAGTCTATCTTAGATAAATCTAAATAGAAAATCATTCTTAAAGTTTCTTTAAAATTTGTAAGCATTAATCATCTTAAATTTTAATTAGAATGTTCATTTTGGAATAAAAAAACTTTTTTTCTCAAATGTTATCAGAAATTAATGGTTGATTAAGTATGAAATTTTTCTTGTGTGATAACTTTCTTGCTAGTTGATTTAAGGCAATCAATAAATACTTATTGTGACGAGTTCATTTTACTGATATCTTTTCTCTACAAAAATAAATCTTTATATCTACTATTTACTATAAAAAGAAGCTTGTCAACGCAATCAATTTCAAGTGCATATACGTTCTTTAGTCTCATTATAAGAACATATTAAATGAAAAATTCCTATATAAGGATAATTGTTTGCGAGGAAAATTATTTTTCTTTTGTGAGACAAACGTAGGAACACTGATTATTGAATACACTTTCCTAGCAACAAGGAAAGATACTTCAGTAATAGCAGAAGGAACTTTCTGTGAACCGTAACTATGAATACAAGATTTTTACGGTTGATCATAACTAATCTAAATATTGCAGATTTTGATATTTAGTGTAGCGAAAGGATTCTATTCTTAATTTAATTCTAAATTTAGGCAAAACTCATTGCTATGTATCAAAATTCATCAAGAGAAAGTATGATATATTCGGAAGCTTACTAAACGGTTAAATCAATGTGTGCATTAAGCCACTGATGATGGTTGAATCGACAAAAAACAAGGAATAAAAGAATATTTATTACTTTCTGTATCATGTATTGTATATATCATCATTATGAGAAAAATTACGCATTGAAGATGTATCTAATAAAAAAAATAGAAGTTTTTTCAATATAACGATGTTAGAAATCGAAATAATAAAAATTCAGACCGCGCCTATCAACTATAAAAATTGTTATAATTTTGATTTATATATTTATTTGTTGTTGTTTTCTTTCTAATGTGAGTTCTACACTTTGGTCCTTCATGAGGCTGTACTTACAAATGTTTTTACTAACGCTCAAATTTTTATTTGTCTTGTTACTAATCGTTCATTTTTTTGTAATTCATTTTTTCTTTATTTAACATTATTATTAAACTATTATATGTCTTGATAAGTTCAGACATATTAATGTTGATTATTTTTCAAAGTTATGCCTTAACCAATTCATACGTTTTATGATAGTTGTGAGAAATCAATGCATCATTATCCATCATTCTTGATATCTTGCATAGAAGTTTTCATCTGCGGAAAAATCAAAAACTTCACTATTTAGAATATTTACAAACGTATTCAAATTTCAAAGAAGACTTTGAAATGTTCTATAGTAGTTTGAAACTTGTTGCCTTCAGCTGCTATAGAAACAAAATCAATGAATGTTGCTCTTCCTCTCTTCCTTTACATGTTGTTAGAGTTTAGGAAGAGAGAGTAGCAAAAGTCTCAATTTAAACTTACATTCATCATTTTTGTTGAAAATATTTTATATATCAATCAGAACTGAATTTCTGTACCGTCTTATATGTTAACAAATGTAATTTAAAACGATAGATTTTTATCATTACTATTATGTGTATGGAAATTTTCACTTCATTTTGCATAAACTTTTAATGAAAAAGTTTAATTGAATATTTAAGCAACAAACTAAACTATGAAAACTTTATTTAAGAAAAATAAATATATACAAAAAAAAACTACAATTAAAAGAACATCAATATATTTATTATTGATCATTGTTTTCTTATTTATTTTTACTTTGCAAATATGTCCAAGTCAATATTCGTTTGAATATACTTCTTCTAATATCTCTGTTTCAAATTTTTTTATTATCTATTTCAACTAAATCAATAGAAAAATTGTTAAAATATCTAAGTCAGTATATATAATCTGATATTCTTCTTGTGAGATAAACTATTAAACCATCAATCCTACTTCACGAAAATCATCAAATATATATATTTCGATCCATTATTATTATGAGTTGATAAAACAATTGATGATGATGAATAAACTTCATTTGTAACTCATGTACAATGAAAAAACATAAGTTATTAAAGAAAATATTCTCATACGAATGATTTGAATTGGTAGTAGTAATACTTTTTAAAAATTGATTTACATCCAAATTACACATGTATATTATTCAAATACTTTAAATATCAATACAGTATAGCATATACATTACAGATCCAACTACTAACATTGAACACATTATAACATCCTAAATAGAAAAAATTCTTTTGAAAATCTCTTATAACAAAATAGATTATTGTTAATAATTAATATATTTACTGTTGGTTGATGTTTACATCTACACTAACTATAATTAAAATATGATAGATCTAATAAAGCATAAAATATTATTTCTATCATTCAGAAAATAATGTTACATATTCAAAATTGATCGTGTATCTCATGCAAAATGAATGACAATGGCACGATTCAACATTTATCTTAATAAATATAACAACAGAAACCAATCTCAGACAAAGCTGAAACAAAATTTATCATAAAATTTTTAATCAATAATTGTATGATTAATCATCATCGATTGGTATTATTAAGATTCGATCATTTATTCAATATGTTAATAAACCATTGAACTAAGTTATTCTCTTTCAAACCATACAAAACCTTCAATAGATAGATGGTAACTAAATGCGCAATGTTGATGTATTCGATCAATAGATTGTGCTTCCCTCTATTTGATTATTTGGTGAACAGAAAGATTCTTTTTTTTTGTAAATGAAATATCATTCTTTGAATAATTTTATTTGTTTTTAATAAGAATATTTTATTAATTAAAATGTTATTTAGATCGAGTCTTGTTTTAAGTATTGATAAGGATATAAACATGATCATGGTAGCATTCAACAATTTATTGAAAAATAAATACGAATGGGAGCTATTTTTAATACTCTTCCTATAGCTGAAACTGATAATTTAACAAATATATCACCAAATCGTGCTGATTGGTTAACTAGTCATGCAGATGCAACTGGACTTGCTGTTGTGGAAGTTGAACGTTTATGGAATCGCTTTAAACAATTAACAGGTTCAAGAGATCAAACACGTTTTAATCCGGATAATTCTGCCGTACCAAATGAATTATCTAATGATGTTTTTGTTAAAAATGTAAGTTTGATATATAGTTTACTTATTATAAATGATTAGAATAGGAAGTTTTTCATATTTTTCAAGAATTAATATCATAGATTATGAAAAAATCTCTGTATCAATATGCATTGGTGAGCATGAAAAAAAACAACACATGACATTAAGAAACAGCTAAATGTCAATTGCTTGAAGAGTTCTGTATATTTAACGTTGAAAATCAGATCAACAACTTCTTTTTTTTAATGATCTATATCAGCAATGAGTCTTTTCGTTAGCTCTTTAGAAATTTATCGTATAGAGAGATCTGATAGATATCATATTGAGAATATCATCGATAGCAACATTGTCCGATTTCGATGACCTTCATTTCAGTGAAGTGAATATTAATCCCTTTGTGAAATCAATATTAATTTCTCGACTTTTAAACAACTTGATTAGATAAGATTGAAATGAAATTTTTTTTCCATTTCAATCAAACAATTGTTTTAAGTATATAAAACTGAAAATATTCGTTCTCTAATAATTTTGATAAGTTTACATTTTTGATTTCGATCATATTCATCTTTTTTTTTGTTTTTTACACTTCAATATTTATTGATTTATCAATAATAACTTTATATGATCAATAGATTAATATTTATTTCTATTTTCTCAATATAGTTTTTGAAACATTTTCCTCGATCTAAAACCGATCAGAATAGTATTCCATTTGGTTATTTTATCATCGTAATGCAATGGCTTGATGCAGCTACGGTTTCACAAAAACTAGGAGCTGTATATTATTATCTTAATAATGGTGAACCAATTGGTTCTGATATGATAGGTAAACTTTTAAAACATGTTTATCCTGAAGTCAAAGAAGTATGTATTTTATTCAATTAATAAAAACAAAACAAAAAGAAACTTTTAAATTTTTTTTTTGTCTTTTATATTAAAAGGATGAACTTAGAGCATTATCACAACAATTTATGCAACAATTAAGTGTTAATGAAAGAAGTAAATTTATAATATAAAAGAATATTAAATAAAGAATATTTTCTATAGGTAAATTAAATATGCAACAATTTGTTGATGCTGTTCAACGATCTATACCATCAAATGAACTTGAAGAAATACTTAAATTTGATATTATACCAACACATTTACTTGATGAAGCAAGTGCATTACCATCACTTCCAGGATCATCAACAAATATACATAATATAAATGATTATGGTAATTATGATGTTGTTAATGATGAACAATTAAGACAAATAGCAAATCAAGTATCACGTAAAAATTGGCCGAAATTAGCACTTGCACTTGGTTTTCTTGAATATGATATTGAAGCATATAAAATAAAAAATAATAATGATTCATCAGCAACTGTAAGTATTACTTTATCTTATTAAAAAAAAAAAAAAGAGAATAATCAAAATTTTCTTTTGTTATAGATGTTAGAATTACTTCATATGTGGTGTGAACAAGAAGGCTCATTAGCTACTAAAAATCGACTTAAACGTTATTTAGAAGATAGTGGATTTCAAGAACTTATTCCATTACTTAATTAATATATATATATTTGTGTGTACGTGTGTGCATGCGATTTTAATAATTAATACTAAAACAATTGTGATATGATTTTCAATTAGAGAAAACTTAAACAATATTTGTAATCTCTCAAAGTGATACTGAAGAAGTATTAAATTTTTTCATAAAATATTGAAATATTCCAATTTTCATACGAATCAATATGTGTTTGAGCACTTAATTTCTGCTTACATGAGCTAAATTGAAAGTATTGCACATTTAAAACTAATATATCCGTTTTGATTGGATTTGTCATAATTAATTGAATTAATAACATAATTTTGACATTCGTTTCAACACTATCAATTGTGATTTTATAGAACACTTTGAATAATAAACTATCTATTCAAATAACTATAAGAATACAGAGTTTTTTTCCTTAATCTTGATTATGACCAAGATGATTTTCTCGTATAAAATATTTTTCAAAAAAAGAGTTACATTTTATGAATCAGCGTAAAATTTCGAATTACATGAGATGTTTTTCTGGGTGTGAATTGAAAATAATCGTATAAGAATCGACAATTCCTATTTGAATATAATTTTTCATTAAAGAACTTCTATATTTGCTTCATTTATTAGAAATTGAATTAATTCTCATATAATATCACATTCATACATAAAATGATTGACTTTTGTTTTTCGTCTATCTTTTTTGCATTCATTGAATCATATATCATCAAACATAGAATTTGACACTGATATTGAATATGATGTTTGAATCTGAAGATAAAGAAGTTTTTAAAGGACTTATCATAGCCTTTTACGTTCTATTTGATTATGGTATCAAAGCAAAAAATAAAGTTATAGATAAATTCACTAACATTCCTCGAAAAAAAAAACCATACAATTAATCTTAAGACAGACCTTAATTTTAAATGAATTTACTAGGGAGTGGTCTTTTACACTAAACGAAAGAAAGCTCTATATCTTCTGATGAATTGAAGGAAAATTTATGAAAACTTGTTGTCGATTTGGTGTTTTCCGATGTGTATTATTAGTCTGATATACAATACTATCTCTAATTTTGATTTCATAACCAAAGCAATATGTAATACACTACGATGAGTTCTATATACAACTTCTTCATTTGAACTTTCATCACTCTGTACAACAAGTTTAAAAATTTCGAAGAAGCGAGTTTTTTCAAGTATTTTTTTTCCTAATGCTATTGAAAATTCGATTTTTTTTGTCCTAGATAAGATGTTAACTGATGATGACTTTCTATTAGTATCCTCAAAAAATAGTCTTTTTTCTCGATGAAAATTTCTTTGTCTTAAAATTTTAACATCATATTTAGAATCAGTGCTAAATTCTATCTTTGATAGTATATGATTCAATCGAATCCAAAAAAAAAGTTTTTCTTTTAATAGTTGTAAAAAGATCGATGGAAAATGTACTTCATCCAATTGAAAATTCTATAGTGATTCAGAAAATGTAACTTTTTTTCAAAACATATTATTGACACGAAAAAAACAAATTGCCTTATAATAAGTTGTCATTTGTTTTCTTTGCCTATATATCTATTAAAACTAAACACTAAGAAAAACAAAATAACATGTCTATTCCTAATGAATACTGTTCATATGATGATGTTCATGTGCTACTGTAATCAATAACACGTAGTTGATGTCCAAAACGTTCAAATTGTTCAAGTACTCTAGCTGGTTCTTCATAAGATTCAACAATAAAACTATATGGTCGATTATTAGTAGACGGTGGTGGAAACATAGTTTGTTCCATAACTTGTGTTCCATTAGGTATTGTCGTTCCTGATGCTGTTCCAATTGGTGTAAAAGTCTGTGTTCGATTAGATGTGAATGAAGAACGTGTTGATGCTACAAAATTGTTTTGTTTTGGTGATGGTTGTGATCGAGCTCTATTAGATATATATACTTGTTGTTGAACATCTTTAACTGTTGGATGAGATAACTGAGATGATACAGAATTTGTGTCATATATTGTATCAAGTAGATTGTCTATTTCAGTTAGAAGTCGTGTATAAACACCCATTGGTAAAGTTAAACCTTTAAAACGACAACGTAATTCATGATTTAATTGACTATAAAGACGGCTAGGCTTTTGTTGACACATTCGAAAGAATCGTATTAATGCATGTCCTGTCATTGATTCACATATTGGCATCATTAAATTAAGATTAGAATCATATAAAAAATCAAGTATTTCTTTTCTTTTCCAATTCTGTATGCTAATTGAACGATATATCGAATTACTTGTATCACGTTTTATAAATTCTTCAGGAAAATTTATTTTACCATTCAGATTCCCATATGAAGGTATTGACCCATTAGGTGCCGTACCTGGTGTTGTTGGTCTTGAATTAGAATGAATTGAAGATTTTTGAAATTTTTCAACTGTAACAGAATTACGACCAGGTGTTATTGATGTTGAAGTAACATTTTCGATTGGTTTTTGTTGTTGTTGTTGTTGTCGATCTAAATGAATAGACGTAGAAGAATGAACAGTTTGTTCAATATTGATCGGTGTAGTTGCCACTGATTTAACATCGACTAATTTTTTCTTTATATGTCGATTAATTTCTTGAACAAGTAATGAAGAAGCCGTGTTAAAATTAGATAAAACAAAATCAATAGGTCTATATTTGTTGAGTATTGCATTTAACCATCCATCTATTGTATATCCTTTATGTACGATTAATGGAAGAATTATTTGTTTAGAATTAAATGCATATTCTGCTAGAGCTTGACATTGATTATTTCGTTTATATGAATTTGATATACAAAGAATAATTAATGTAGAACAATCTATTGCCTCAGCTTGAGTTTCAATAGCTAAAATATAAAATTAATATTCTAGTTGAATATTTAAAGATGCAGCTGATCTGTATAATATTTTAATCAGAAATAGGAAACCTAAAGTAAGGCGATACGTATTCGATGAAAAAACTTTTCAATAAAGTTTTGATTTTCAAGTATCTGTCGTCAAAATTTCTCATCGATCGAACAAAGATTAATACGATCGTAATCAACTCTGATTTATACTTAAGAAAAATTGAAGCTTTCTTGAAAAAACTACCAAAATCTGATTTAAAACGATTTTTCTCGAACATTTGTCTTCTTATTTTGGATGCTCTACTTGTCTATGATAATCCCGTTGGATCATGTTTCAACAAAAAAAATTCCATCAACTTACTTTGCTCATGAGGATTATTACGTTCGAACCAAATATTATAACCTTCATTAGCAAGAAGTTGTTGAATTTCATAAATCATATCTTTATCATCATAACAATATGAAATCATAATATCATATTTTAATTTTTTATCATCAACAATTTGTTTTTCTCGAAATTCAGATTCTAAATAATAAAAAAAAAAAAAACAATAATAGAATATATTCATAGAAATTTACATTTCAATTATACTTTTTACAAGATTCCAAAGAAGTCCATCAGCCACTTTATATATTTCATTATTTATTACATCATCAGAAGGAATCATAGTAATATTTCGACGATGATTAAAACTATTAGAATGACGAATATTATTTATTTGATTATCATTTATAATAGGTTTTGAAATATCTTTTAATGACAAAATAAATGTTGAATTTTGACACATTTGTTGAATGGCTTGTTCATTAAATGATAATGTCCATAGACATTCAAGAAAAAATTGTTTTGATAATCCATTAAATGTTTGACTACATTCTATTAAAAATCGTAATGCATTTTGTTTTAATATTTCATTTTTAACTTGTTCATGTTGTATCAAATCTTTGAAAACAAAAAAAAAAAAAATAAAGATTATTATAATTATGTATTTTTTGTTTTTTGTATTACTTTTTAATATTTCAGCAAGTTGTAGTATATTTCGATTAGTATTTCCAGTATTCACTTGATCATTAAGATTAGTTTTATTATAATCTTGAACTGCACTATATAGTAAACTAAGAATACTAAAAGTTAATCGAGATAAATCAATATTGAATTCTTTGATATCATTTTCATCCATTATATAAGCAAGTATCATATAAGCATTTAAACCAATAGATTCACAAGATGTTGATGTTAATTTTCGAAATATTTTAATTGGTTTACATTTTTTAATATAATCAAGTGCATCAGATTCATAAATTAATACACTAAAAACAAGTAATGTTACATTAATTAATAATGTTTCTTGATTTTCTGGAGTATTATGTATTTTATTAATTAATATAGGTTCATTAATAAGACATAAAAGATGATTAATAAGTGATTGAAGTAATTCATTACTTAAATGTAATGTAAAACAACTTTCAGCAAGAATAAGAGTTGTTAGAAGATGACGAATAGAACGCAACATTGGTCGATGCCATTCTTTTATTGTTTTTATATGTTTATCAAGTATTGATACATAACGTGGTAACATTACTTCTAAAACTTGTTCAATTGTTTTTTCCATATGTGAACCTGTGAACAAAAAATAAAAATACTTATAAATCAATAAAAACTATATTTACCATTATACGTTTCAAGAAAATACGGACATTTAATAAGAAATAATTTTTGTAATTCTGTTAATGAAGTTGATTGAGCTTTTAAATCTATAAATAATTGTACGTAAGTAGTTGATGTTAAACAATCAATAATTGGTTGTAATAATCGAACAAAGAAATTTTGATGTAATTTCCATGGTAAACGTTCTTGTATACGTGAAAACATATTGACTAAATGTGCAATTTGTTTTATGAAACGTTTACCATTTCTTGCATTTGATATTGTATTTATTTGATATAAACATATTCCTAATGTATCAAGAAATGCTACATCAGTTATCCAAGATATAATTACTGATATATCATCAATATTTTTAACTAAATTTTCAAGTAATAAATTACAATTACGTAAAACATGTATTTCTTGATCATCTAATTTATATGTTGTATGTAATTTTTGTAAAAAAGTTTGTATTGTATTACGTACGAGAAGAAAAAAAATATGTGAATGTACAGATGTTAATGATGGTATTGAAGTAGAATTTAATGAATGAACTATTTGATATAAAGAGTTTAAATATGCTGTAGGATTTGCTGAATTAAAATATAATTCACGAAAAAGATCATTTAACATAGCTGTTAATTCTTGTACATCAATACGTTCTGCCTTACGTCGTATTGTTGAACAATGAGCAACAACAAGCAATGAAGGAGACATTGTATTACGTTCATTTTTCAATTTCTTTACCATTACTTCTATTTACTTCAGTTGAAAGTACGTAGAAGAAAAAAAAACGTCGTTTTTGTTTAAATAATGATCGTAGTAATTTATTTACTGGATTCTTATACCCATTGAATTATAAAAGTTAGCCTTGACATAAAATAGCTGTATTTTACTGAAGTAAGAGAAAAAAAGAAGGGTACAAGCCTGTAGTCTTCTCAAGCGTAACGGGGAAAATATATATAGTATATCTTTCTTCCCTTTTTTTTTTTATTTTAAAAACTGCTACGAAATGTCTATCATATGACATTACATAGACTGTTTGCTAGTTGCTTTTATCTGACTTTGACAATGTTCAAGGCAAGTCTAATACACAAATAAATATAAAACAAAACAAGTTATATTTAATATTAGTATGTCATTCGTTTTTCTAATAGATGATTTATACGACGAATAAACAAAAACTTATATTAATATTTCCATCTTTACTCATAGAACGATATGAATCAATATGACAAACCGTCCTTCGTTTTTCGTTAATAGGTTTGTCTATTTCTTTTTTTTCTTCGACATTGTATCATTTATCAGTGTAATACATTATTCGTGAAGATATATACATATTAGCAAATAGATATAGTATAGTTTTTTTTTCTAATCTTCACAAATTTTTGAATGACACATAATTTGTTATACATTGTTTTTTTAAAAATAAGTCTATAAAAGATGGTTATCTTGTTTCATACACTATATTTTTCATTGTTATGCGAGAGAAAATATTCGAGGTGAATGATTTCAAATGATAATTAAGTTCAACTTTCGATAAAGATTTAATCAGTAAGGCGGGACTCGCCTTGTTTGCAAGTCATTGAGTCTTATTTGGATGTGACCCGCACGGCAAGGACAAATCAAAACAGATGATATAAATCACTATTCGATGAGTGTACAATTTATTACTTATTTCAATATAGAAGTAATTCAATGACGCTTATTAACAGTATGATATCAAAGTCATAGTTTGTTAATTTTCTTACCATTCTATTGGACATTATAAGAGAAATTTTAATTAGAAATAATCAATTACATCAATAGATCATATCTCGATATAGTTAATTTTACTCTTTATGTTCGATACAAGGCATCTTTCAAATGGGATAATTATAATAAATTATTATACATATATAAGAATTTTGTATTCCTATGATAAATCATGGCTCACCACCTTCACATTCATGTTCATCTTGATGTCAAAAATTGTGCATTATACTCTGTTAATTATATAAATATGGATTTTATGTATTATGAATACAGAAACTATGAAAACAAAAATTTAAGTAATACAAAAATTTAAGTAAATATGAATACTATAAATGATAAAGTAAAACGAATCACTCTATAAACTAGTCCACAATCAACAGAAATCAATTATAGTATATATTGGAAATAGAAAATTCTTTCTCGAAGAAAAAAAAAGAAAAACTGCTAATACTCTTAACTCTATCTAACTAAAGTAAAACATATGTGAAATATACATCATTATATAATTGTTTCTAATAAATTCTTATAAATTTTTCTAGTTCAGAATGTAGAACAAAACAATTTTAATAATATAATTTTCTAGTTTAAAGTTACATAATCAAATAATAAATTCTTCTTTACAATCTGATAATAAAATAAAATGAATAATATTAATTTAACTGGTCGACTAGATGAGGAGATTTTATTAGATACAAAAAAAAAAAGAGAGATGTATAATTATATCAACAAGAAATAATATTGTATGAAAAATATTGAAAGATATGAGAGTGTGGATAGAGAAAAACTCCACACTCACACCATTCAATGACATTGGGAACATTTTTTTGAGAGGTATATATTTCTTTACCATTTTGATATGATCGACAGTTTTTTTTTTAGTATTTTTTCTTTTGACCATATCGATACATAGCAAGAAAAAATTATAGTTGATTAGAAATGAAAAATAAAACAAATCATATTAAGGCGTATCAGAAAATGTAATTTTTTCCTTGATATTTTCATTGAAATTTTCATTAGCCATCATTAACACATTATTAGTTACGCACAGCACAAGAAATAAGCAAAATAATTTTGTTACACTTCATAGAAAAAGCAAGACTAATTAATTAATTTTCTTACAATGTCATCCCGTTTCACTTCAACCGTATTTATAAAGAAAAAAAAAGAAATACAACATATTATTACAAACAACACATGGTATGATGTAAATGAGAACATAGTTCAAACGATTCATTTAATATCAACGAATTTTTGTCACATTGCCGAAATTTTGTTATATTTCCAATGTAACAACAAATATAATAATGTTCATTAAAGAACAAACAAGTTTTTTTTCTTTTCTTATTTCAATAATCAAGAGCATTGTGATTCAGATAATATAATTTTCATATTACATATTCATACGTAGTGACTTTCGACATTATCCGACCAAGTTTATTATCAATATGTTTTTCAGTATACTGTAACACGAATGAAAACCTATATAGGGATTTGATTGAAGAATTTTATTTTCTGACAAGATTTTTCGAAGATGAAAATGATTGCTAGTTTCTAAAGGATAGAGTCTCTGGAAAACTATATCTTTCAACTCCTAGAATTCTTTTTCAAATCACACAAAATGATAGAGTAAACAATTTTCTACAAAATAAAAAAATCTTTCATCTATCTATAACGTGATTTAAAGTCATATACACCAATCTTGCAGAAGGTACAAACGTAGTATTTCTATCCGAATTCACAGAAAAACAACTTTAGTATCTTTTGTAAAGTTGATGTATCTCTGTCGAAAAACCTTGTAAATAGCTGAAAGATCTTTTATTTTGTAGAGCATTGTTTATGTTCTCATTTTAAATAATTACAACAGAAATCTAAGAGCTGAAACACATAGTTTTTCAAAGATTATATCATTGAAAAACTATCAATCATCTTTATATTTAAAAGTTTTCGTCTAAAGATAAAATTCTTTACCAAAATCATTAATGTGTACAGTTGTGAAAAAAGATTATTTCAACGGTTTTGAAGCAATTGCTCGTTTGTCTTTTTTCTCTTTAAATCCGCTATTGCCAAAAGTATAGATATCATGATTCGAGTACAATTATTCTTACAAGTAATTATTGTTTTGTACAAAAAAATAGTCAAGTTCACTGATCAAAATAGTTTTATTCGTCTTTTTCTCATGATAACATCCATGTAAAAAATGTCAAATAATATCCATCATTGTTAATTAATTTCAAAATTTATTTACTTCTTCAATTGAAATGTAACATTCTTCTGAAAAAAAAAAACCATGTCTACCAAATATGAAATAAAATTATGGCGTGTCTTGATCTACAGTACTGATAGTTACATGTGCAAAAAAAAAAAATTAACTATACAAGAATTTTGTTTTTTTTTTCTTCACAATAATTTTTATTAATGAAAATTATTATCAAACTATATATATATATATATCAGACAAGCAATAACAAAGAAAAGTTTTATGTTACAGTATAAAAACAATCGACATATAACGGAATGAGTAGCATGACAATGACATACTAAGAGCATAACCAAATGCAAGAAATTATGAATTCATTTTCAATAAACAAAAATTCCATTTTTGAAAGCTCTGATTTTAATAAAAATAACTTTAAAACAAAAATTGTTATTCAACAACCGAATCAAAACGATTTCAGATTTCTATTGAACGTAGAATTTTATTTTCTAATTGTTCTTCCTGCATTTTATTATTTGTTGCTTTACATTTCCAAAGTTATATATTGATAGCATATCAAATAGCTGGTGCAAGTGTTTTTAGAAATTTCTATCTTTTATTTTTTGAACTTGTTGATATTTATTATGTAATGGAAATTTTAATTTCTTCAAAAGATAAAACAAAAAGTACTCGAAATGACTTTAGTTATTAATAAATAAATTTTCGATTTTAACGTTCCGATTTCGGTCCCAATGGTTATTATAGCAAGATTTAGGTTCCAGTTCTGTACACAAGAAAGTGAACAATTTTCATTCCAGTTCGATTCTCAGTTTCATTCTTTTAGAAATCACAGAACTCTAATTCTAGAATTAAGAATACGAAATCCGTATACACTGTGAAACCATCGAGTTTGTGCAATCTAAGACGCTTTCAAAACAGAGAATTGTTGTTATGAGACTATTGCATGGTTCAATCGATTGTTCAATGGTGTATATATATATGACGATTTTATGTAACAGTTACTAATAATAAACAAGTGAGTCTGAACATAATATGATGATTAAATAAAATCACATTATTTGAATAATGTAATATTAATTTTCTTTTTGCAATAAAAAAAAAACGCCAATATAGATATATTTAAATAATTGTAGCGATTTCTGTTATCTTTATAAATTATTCATGCTGCACGTTTGTTCGCTCTACCACTAGCATATCGACGATTTTCCGGCGGTAGCACTTATGACTTTTGATTCTAACTATAGAACATTGTCGAGAATGTTTTAAAGCTGTCTATAATAAAAATTTATCTCATAATTGGGGTCGATCTGGACTCTATGGCTAGTATAGGTGTCTCAGACACATCAGCATCATTTGATTGTATCGAAAACGACTAGGTTCTGTCAGTTTGAACAAACTTCAGAATTATTCACATGTTTTGATACAATACACTATGATATAGCACTTTAAAAAAAAAAAAGTGTTTTTTGACAGTAGTTATCACATAGGCAATATTTATAACATATGTTTTATTCCAAGAATGAAAAAAACAACAGAATAAAATGAAAGATGAAAAGTCGGAAAATTTTCAATTTCAAGCTCTTTATTTAATGTATTGAAACTTCCAGCATAAAATCTCTAAAATAGATATACTACTATCCATGGCTGGATAACATTCATAGAAATACAAGATTTTAATATATATCAATATAGGATAAAAAGAATTTCTATCTACTGTCCTTAATTATCATTTCAATTTAAAATAAAACTTGAAGATCAGTGTCAAGAATCAAAAGTGCCT